AAAAAATGTTAATAGTTGATACATTTACATACGAAAACAGAAAAACTACGTTTTTAACAAAACATCTTCACACAAATGATTTGTCCCACTGTTACTTAAAGTGCAAAACCATTATTAATCACCTGGTGGAGCGCTTTCATCCATTTGCACAGCAGACATRGGAAATGCATTTTAATGTGCTTTCATTACATTTTTATTACAAAAAGTAAAGCATCACAACATGAAGGAAACATATGTACAAGTCATAAAAATAAAATACATCCTGTTATTCACTCCTAGATGGAGAATGAAGTAACTAGATAAAAAGCTGATAGGTTGTTGTTTTTAACACTGATGGGCCACTGAGGGAGGAAGCACAACATGAAGCAGTGAATGAGCACCATGTTTGAAAAATACTAACCAAAGGTGTTTTCTGCAGCTTTAGCTTTTAAATCCCTCGTTTAAATCCACATGTATGACACGTTCTTTTTAATTACAAAATAAGATATAATGATCCCTTATACAGCCATGAAATATTTTTTTTGGAATCAATAACTGTATAGTTTTTCATCCAAGGAGTCAAATGAAACCAAGTGTTTTATAGAGCGAGCTGCAGGAGCTCAGGGTTGAATGTGAGGGAGTGAAGAGGAAGAAGGTTGTTGAGCGGAGGTTTTAGGAGGAACGAAAGCAGGCGTGACTAGAGGGGGCCACTTGATACCCTTGAAATCTGATTGGTCACCCTGACTGGCCACCCCCACCAGAGCTGTCAATCACTTTGATCGGTGCGCACAGTAATGCCACCAATAAATACCACACAGCTGTCATAACCCGTGATGTATTATAGATATTATACGGGAACTCTTGTWATTCTACTTTGATGCAATTCGTACATTAAAAGCACATGCACAGGCAGACATTAATGAGACTGTGATGTGTCCAAACTTCTATTTGTGTTCTGGGTGTCCGAGATTTTGAATTGACTGCATAGCATTCAAAACACATCCATGATCACACAATCAGGTAAAAGTTTTAGTATTCAAATCGTGATGTACTGTTCATTGCAATATAAAGGGCTCGACACACGGGAGGCGACGTCGCTCGCTCTCCATTCATTTCCT